GCCTAAGCTTTTGCACGCTTGTTCACAAAGATCTTGAAAACCCCTTTTACTAAGCTGCGAAGCATTTGGCAAATCATAACTGGTTACCTTGATGACACTTTTCTGTTGTCGCCATCAAAAGAGAGAGCTACGCAGGCTGTTCAAGACACAACAAAGCTCCTGGAAAGCCTAGTTTTACTATTCATACTAAGAAGTCCGTATTCACACCTCAGCAAGAGCTTGAACAGGGTTTATAATTAACTCGGTGAATATGGAAGTTCGATTGCCAGGAAGTAAGAAAGAAGAAGTAAAAGCCACTTGCATCAATTTGCTTGCCCAAGAAACACGCAGTATCATCAGTCGCATCCATTCTTGGCAGACTCGTAGCGACTTTTCCTGCAGTCCAATACGGCCCCCTTTTACTTCCGAACTTTGGAGAGGGAAAAAACTATTGCCCTCAGAAACAATTTTGGTCTCTTTGACCGGCAGAATGAAACTCTCTAGGGCCGCTTGGAGTGAGATTATTTGGTGGAAAGATAATATTGACAACGCCTTTTCCAAAATCAGTCGGGGGGCACCTGACTTAGAAATTGCCTTAGATGCGTCAGAACAAGGATGGGGTGTTACAGAGGGCACCGCTGCTATTGGAGGCCGCTGGAAGGACACTGAAAAGTTGTAAACTGCCAATAATATCAACTACCTTGAGCTTTTGGCTGCATTCCTTGCCATGAAATCCTTTTGCAGTAAACTCCGCTCTGTACATAACAAACCCAATCTTGACAACACTACTACTATATAGATCACAAGGGAAGCTCTAAGTCTCCAGTCTGTAATGAGGTAGCGACGGAGCTATGGCTTCAGTGTATTTCTAAATCCATATGGGTGTCAGTTTCTCGTCTACGTGGAGTTTAAAATGTTACAGCGAACAGGAAATCAAGGCAATTTCTGGATGAGACAGAGTGTGGATGCTAAACCGAGAAGTTTTCGCAATATTTTCTAAGGAACACACACCCAAGGTGGATCTCATCAAGGCTTAATGCTAAGCTTCCCAGATATGTCCCATGGAAGCCTTATCCTGGGGCAGAGTCAATTGATGCCTTATCCCTCAGTTGGGAACGAATCAGGTTTTAAGCTTTCCCCCCAGTAGTGGTCATTTGGGCACACTTTGTCCTTGAAATATAGCACCATTTGATCCTTGAAGATGGTGGCATTAAAATGCATAAGTATAATAATTATGATCATAAAAATATGAATAGGAATGAGGATAGGGCCAAAAATTCAGGCACAGATTGACTTTTGGTAAGAGGTAAGCATAAGGTCAGAAAGTCTGGCACAGGTTGGTGTATGGGGTAAAATTGGAATGAAGCAGAACGGGGTAAAACTTTTGGGTACAATTTGATCTTGCTTATGATAAAAAAAAATAGTGGATGAGTCGAAGGTGTGAGGTCATGGAAAAATACGAAGCAGTGGCGGGCGTGTACAAGACAATAAAATCTGTAAAATGAAATCGGTACTGACTTATCATCAGTGGTGAAGCTTTTGCTTCACCCTACCAAGGGATAAACAGTTGTCAAACCTACGAGGAACTTGGTGTCATCTTCGAGACTTTTGAACTCAACGAAGATGAAAGGACGTACGCTCTTCATAAGCTGTGCGATCTGAGTCAAAGAAGATTTTACCGGATTTACCTGTGTCGACGGGCACAGTTATCTAACCATCTGGTTAGACGCCGATCCCCTTGCGGAATTTGAGGAAGGTATGCAAATGGATGGGCATGGTGACCAATGAAGAACTAATGAAGGACGAGGATGGGAAGACCCAACCACCCAGGAAGAGAATTCGTGCTGAGTTGACTGGAGACGGCGCCCTGCAACCCCACGGGCACGGTAACGCCGATGACTACTTCAGCAATGATGATGATCCTTGGGCTGCTTTTGAGGGTATGCGAATGGACGAAAGTAGTGGACATGGCGGGCGGTGAAGATTTCTTCAGAGGACGAGAAGAACCAGCCGCCAAGGAAAAAGATTGGCGTGGAAAGGCCGCAAGATTTTTACGATAACGTAGACGTTTATGAGAAATGTGTAAAAAAGTATCAGGCCACGACATAGTACAGTTCAGGAATATGGATCATTTATCATAACGAGAGTTTTTACCACGCCTGGGTTCCATTTTGTGAGAGCATTTTGGAGAGGTTAACGGACGGTCTCCACGCTTAAGACAGAGTAAAGTTGGTGTTTCAGTCAACTTACCTGAATTTTGCCCATTGCTTTGTCATTTTTAGGAGTCGACGAATTAACAGTCGAAAGATTTTGGCTCATATCGAACAAGTGTTGCAGCCCTACCAGTTTATTCAATCGGACCACAGGGTTGATATTCATTTCGTGCACATGCGGATGCAAAAAGGGGGCAAGACCCAAACTCATGGCGTGTTGAAAATTCAAAATATGTTACACAGTAAGAGCTCGATCATTCAGATTTAAGATAACTGTGCTGCACCAGGGCAATCGTGACAGGGATAGCTATTACAGAAAAATCACCCCAATGTAAAAGAGATAAAAGAAAGAACAAGAATACTTGGCCATAGATTTGCACGCTAAAGAGGGCCTGAAGGAAGGACTGTATTGAAGAAGTTCGCAAATTTCAGGACGTCTGACCCGAATACCGTATTTTGGAGTTATCCCACGATCATTTCAACGCTGCCATTTTCAAAGGGCTCATCCGACGGCATACTATTTACCTGTACTTTCACAACAATCATTACAATCTGATTAACGTCCATAAAAGCATTTTTTAAAGTAGGGTACAATGTGACAGAAAAGACACACGAGATGCGTGGGTAGTCATGTGCAATGTCTCCCGGCTGCCCAAAGGGTAAGAAAGACACGTGGATGTACTGTTCGGAATGCAACCGCAATTTTAAAGACTAGCAGTGTTAGGGTAAACGAATCAAGAAAAAACAGTCAAACGTATAACCATTGCAAGCGCTGCGAGATGTGTTCGTGAACGTAAATATGAATGGCAAGTGCGGAAAGCACGACTGTACCCAAAAGTACTGTTGGGATCATTGAGATCAATCGATCTCCAAAACGCTGACACAGGTAGGAATATGGAGCGTTACTGTAGTGAGGGTGGAAAGAGAAAAAGGAAAGGGCCAAAATAGAAGTGGCTAAATACGTGTTCTCTGGTTTTGAATGTACTCAGGACGACGGCGTTCACGAGCCAAATCTATGCGTAGCCCGCGTGGTTTGTGAGTTATGTGCCAAAAGGTCGGAAAACGTCCTGGATGTATAAATAATGTAAGCACTTTTCGCATTTGCGTGAAAAGATGTTCCAGGGGGGACAAATGTAAGGAGGAGTTCTGCGATTGGCTCTTTGGATCCAAAGAATACGCTAAATTCGACTTCTTTGGCGCACAATACGATGGGTATTTTTTGCTCAGTTACTCTTAACGAAAACGCCGTTTTCGCTCACTTTCTTGTATTTTAATTCCAACATGCGATGCAAATAATCGTCAAAATAAATGTACGCCCCCCCTTTCGGACTTCTATCTTCTATCTCTCCCCATGTTCCTATCCAAGGTGATGACGATATTAGGCCTATATTTAGCCGCATCCGTCATTTCGGCGTTGATTGGCATCTTTGATTTCCTGCGCGGATGTGTAAAACCCGTGCGATATTCTAGCGTGCGTTTGCACTCGGCTGCGTTCGCTGTACAGGAACGAATTATTGTTGTACCACATGAAAGGACAATGATCTCGGTCAGGGCAACCTCCCAGTGTCCGATCAGATTAATTTGTTTGACCAGGTGCGCGGTGTACCTTGAAAGGGTATTGTTTGGGTACGGTGACATGATGAAAACGACGAAAGATACCCCAACCATTTAACGAAATACTCTCCTGCGCTTCCCAATCACTTTCTCCCCTCTACTAAGGGGTTTCTCGCACGTTTTGCAATTCATCCTTGTGAAATGAACTGCAAATGGCTTCACCGTTATAAACTTTTAATGCGTACACGGTTTTTTGCCGCCCACTAAGTTTGGCTACTGTAAATATCTGCTCAGACAAGGATAGGAGGTAGGACTTTTCAAAGGACAGCCGCCGTTTACTGACTCGTACCTTATCCCCCACTTTAAACTGAAATTTAGCGGGTGTCTTAGTGGCGCATACAGACCGCAGCGTTTTCACAAAGTGACAAATCCGTCCTAAATCGATTTTTTTTACCAATTTCGTTTTTAGGATATTCTGACTGTTTTTATGTGCTTAACATTCCTTCAAAATTTGAAGTCTTAAAAATGTGTATTTTTGCTAGTTTTGAAAATAACAAAAACGGCGAATCGGCCACTATTGCAGATTAGTGTTTTCCACAAAAAGGCAAATCTGGATTCGCCACTATGTGAAAACACAAAATCAACAGGGCAACTTAATCACCGGGCAAGCGCCTATGAAATAGCACTGCACACAGATTTGTTACTTGATGAAAACGCAAAATGTCAATGGATTTGCCACATGAACTTGCATAGAATGGCAGTTCTACTCTGCTCTGCCTTCCTTCCGAGGGCCAGTGTCGACATCTTAGTGGAATTTCTGTGATTTATACTATCCTTTGCAGAAAAACAGTTCTTGAAAATCAATAATGGTAAGTAGATACTTCATTTCCATGTATTTCGGTCGGAGTAGGGGCATGCTTGGCAACAATGCATTGTTCTGATCTGTGCTTTCCTTCTCCAGGTTTCTATTTAGAAAACGTGTTATTGTTACTGATTTGTTGGTTGTATTTTTTCACTTCAGACTAAATCCATGAGGATCTAAGGGGAAATTTTGGCCATGTGTATGTTTATACTTAAATCCACATTTTTAAAGATCTCCCAAAACCATCATGTTAAATTTGGCGAAACCGTAAAGGGAACCGTAAACCGTTAAGTTTGAGAGGAAAAAAATCAAACCCCAACAGCTTAAACCATGTACAAACATGATTCGTTCTTAAGTATTTATTGCATATTTGTATATCAGAATTCCAGTCATGTTGTATTTGCATTTTCTTTTTACGATGATATAAATTGTCATGTCAAAAGTTACTTTATAATGTAACCAATTCGTTGTAGAAACGTGATTATGAGCAAAAGGGGAATAAATGGCTTAAATTCGCACAATACTATCAAGTCTGCGGAGCCTGTAGTATTTTTTAAGTAAAGTAACCCATGCGATGCTTAACTCAAAGAAGAATGATCCCAAAACTGCAGACCAACAATTTTGTTGAAGGAAAACCAGTTTGGATAAATATGAAACTGTTGGGGGAAATGCACAAAATCAAAATCATGTTAAAAAAGAAGTAAAAGACGTTTATATAATTTTACTGAAGACAAATGCTCATCCTTTTTACGGCCACCCCTGATGTCCTTCTTGTAATGAATTTCTGTGAATGTCCACAAAGCTATGCCGGGAAGAAAATGGATAGCATTGCTTTAAAGTTGAATATACTTTGGAACCCAACAGTCAATTATTTTAAATGTAAAACACCCAGTAGTGAGTCTAATGCAGATTAGTTTCCTTTTTTTATAGCCCTGCAACTCAACCATTGCATTATTGTACTAAAAATGTACTCCAGAATGGGTTTTTAACTGCTTGGCAGTAATTCCCATGAAATACCTCCTTACAAATAGGGCCTACCTTCATTACTTTCAGCTTGTCTTTGGCATCGGTTGCAAGTCTGGGTCAAAGTGGATCTTCGGTCTGCAGTATCCTATTAGTGTTTATTTGGACAAATCTGTATGGGATTGAAGAAAACAAAATAGGGAAAAAAGGGGGAAAAAAGAATCGGCATTAGTCATAAGTTGTCTGAAAAACAAACTGGCAACGAAACAAACTAAATTTAACTGCATTCTGTATTTGTCCATTCTTTAGAGTTTAGACCAATAGGTCTGTAGGTTTACTTTGAAAGAGTGAAGTTTACGAATTCTTTGCAGACATGTTGAAATTCAAGTTAGTTGTGACACCTTGAAGCCCGAAAATTAGTCGATGTGGAGCTGTGGGGCCAGCTGAATCCTGTACAAGTAGAAAATATGGTGACAAATGAATACACCAATGGAACGACTTAGGGTTACTCATTCCCTGTAACATTCCCCAGGACATGTAATAGGGTTGCTTTTGATATTTAGGGGAGACAGTATTAGCATCAAATATTTTCCACTCTCTGATCTTAGCCATTCCTTGTTAATGTCCAAACAGGAACTGATGCCACATTTTAAAGTTATTTCAGCTTTTCTTGGCTTGCCTATGTTAGCTTTGCCCTGTAAGAAGATGCAAATCTCTGTGACAACCGAGAGTTTTTGACCTTTATGGTGAAAAACCGTTGTACGACATCTCAAGGTCAACCTTGCTGTGACCTTGAGTTTCAATAATACCCATTGCCTGAGGCGTGAAACTATTGCTGTGTCGTAGTATGTCTCCTAAGCATGCAAATGTCTGACAAACTTGGAAAACCCATCCGTGATATTTGAAAAATCTACTGGCAAATTACCAGATGTCGTGAACCATGAATACAACCTAAGGCTTGGTTCTCAGAGTTTGGTGCAAGTCCAGACTAGAATTCTATGTAGGGGTAGGCCTAAGCCTGGATTAGCATTCCATAAACAACTCTCAATCATATCAATGCCACTAATAAGCCAGAAACTGACAAAGGGATAAGATTATACCAGCTTGGAAAACGCAGATCTCATAGCATGCCTTTAACCTTTGAGCCAAGTTTTTCAATTAGGCCTAGCCTTAATTAAGAAGACGAAATAGGCCTAGACTGGCATACACTTTTGCTTGGCTATTTTTGCCAGGGTTGTGGGTAGTAGGCCTACTGTTAGGCCTACTAGGACTGGTAATTTCCTTTAAGTTATATTATTATATAATGCAGTCCATCACCCACATTCCTTAAATTTTTTTACAAAGAAGAAGGCATTTCAAATGATCTCGAGACAACAAGTATTCTTTTATTTCAAACTTACATAAACACAATGTAATAGTGTACAGACATTGCAAAATTAAACCTAGAGATTAGACAACGAACTCTCTCGGACAGCGCCATGTTGAAAAACAATAACACCTTTTCCCCTTTGTGTTCAATTTCGAACCCATCCTATATTTGCGCGTTCTGTGAAGGTACACCAGTGATAGAGGTTGTTCGTCGATTCATGAAACCGCCAATGAGTGGGGGCGCGTTTTCAGAAAGCGGCGAATCCACAATGGAAGGGGGGCGAATTCATTGAACTCTGGATTTTGCGTTTTCACGTACTGGCGAAAAAGTTTCGTGGACCCTAGTTCTTAAATGAAAGAGTGAATGCTTAAAACGTATGTCTAAACGTAGCATTTAACAATTTAACTTTGGTGTTATGTGAAAATAATAGACATTTTCTACAGAAAAATGTGTGAAACCGCAAATTTAAAAAATGCCCAACTTCAAACGCGATTTTCTCAAAACTGTGCTTTCAGTCACAATGTGCATATATTCGTCACTTTGTGAAAACGCAGACGAGACGTTTCCAAACAACGCTTTCATTAGCGCCGTTGACGGGCTTCATTCCAATGGTACGATGATGCGAATGCTTGTAGTGGCCACCAGTTGCCCTAACCCGTCGATGTATTTCAACGTGCTTTCCCACGTAAAGTACCGCCACATGCGAGACTTGAGCGTGCCACGGATGCTTTGACCTCGCTGTTGATCGTATAGAAATGTATCCCTTCCGTTTCAAGCATTTTTTGGAACGGACGGTTGGTAAATTCACTGCCTTTATCTGTGTGAATCTTCACGGGAGGTCTGCCGCTGGATCTGACATTAGTCTTGAAAGCATTCACCAGCGCCTTGCCCGATTTATTTTTTTAACGGATGGTCACCTCTGTGGTAGAGGTCATCATTGGCTGGAGTGATGGGAACGGGGGCCAGGTTAGGTGAAGGGGCCACTGGTGGCTCCTGCGCGGGGGCCATAGCTGGGCTTGCCCGGGCGACGGGTCGAAACGGCGGAAATACATCGTCGTCTGCATATAAAAGGAAATAAACCAAATCTGTTTTACTCAAGTTTCATCGCTGTATTCATCGCTTGCGTTACGAAGACAGTAAACAAAAGCGAATAAATACATGTACATAAAAAGAAAAGAAAAGTACATAAAAAAGAGTTATCGGACAGGGTTTGGTCGATGACTTCCGCCTCTTCATCGAAAAATTGGGCATGACAAGCAGCATCTGCGAGTTACAAGGAAAGAAAGAAGCCATTAAACTTACGGAAGGAACAGAGGTAGCCGTTAGTTTCCAACAGACTATGGGAGTGTGGTACTGATAACGAACTTTACTTACACATTTCCCAACTGGGAGGATGCACAGGTGATGCATGAGGTGCGGGTGGGGGAACGAACTGGCCCCACATAGGGTCACAAGGGCTTCCATTCTCACCCACTCCTCCTCGGTGTTGAAATCGGGTCCAAAAAATCCCTGGGCCATGGTGTACAGTATACGATGGGCGGTGGTGCTGATGATGCAGAAGGTGGTAGCGAACGCGATGATCTGGTGCTTTGTTCTATCCAATACACGCGTCGTCCACTTCGGTGATGGTATCATTGTTTAAAGGCACTCCCTCTCCGTTAGGTTAATCCCTCGTCCGGAAGCCATTGGGAAGCCCTTCTGCATAGTCTGGTGATAATCACTTATCTTTACTAAGGTACATCCCGAAACTTTTCGATACCGACGTATCGATCGTTTTTCAGTTTCAATCTTTGAGAAAATATTATATCTTTAATAGTGGCCTTTGCTGGCGTCGTCGTTCTCTCTTCCAACAATGCCCGATTTCTTGATCCTTCTGGTTTCATCGAGTCTGGTTTGTTCGAGTCAATCATATGTACATTGCGAAATTCAGAGACCGTATTTGAGACTACCGGCTATATCCCAACTATAAGTGGGTATACACGACGGCAATGCGTTACATTTTGGGGACCAAACGACTTTTGTTTGAGGACCGGCCATCTTACGTGATTGATCGTGTTCAACAAAATGCCACTTTCACAATGTTACGTCCGCTTTTATTTCATTTTCTGAAGGAGGTATAGCGTCATTTCTTAATAGAGATTATATTTACAAATACGAANTTTTACTGATCCAAATCTGATAGATGCTAGATTAGGATCTAAAATGGAAAACATGCAAAGCTTGGTTCAGGTCAGACTAGGGAATATTGAATTGTGGGACAGTAAAGTTGGAAAAAATGTGTGCACGTTCTTATGGAAATGTCTCCCTATTGGCCCATTAGCGGTAATTGTTATTATTCTATTGATATGACAACACCTTACAATGTCGCATGACACCGTTTATTTATATAGATGACATAAACCCTACAAATAGAGCGGTTGAATAATAACAAACACGTTTCTGTCGCAATGACACCAACGCTTTATTTACAAGTCTTGTTTGTATCAACCATTAATTTTATTTTTTAAATCACCAAATTACTCCGGACATAGAAATTCATACGTAGTGTGAGTATTAGTACATTGTTGACATCCCACAACCAGTCTTTCATACAAACATAAGATTACTTCTGGATGCCATTGGGGGGCCGACAGCCTTTTTTTAAAGGAATTATCACTCACAACCCGGCTGCACGTACGGTCCTTTTGTTTAGGAATTATCGCTTCCTACTTACTTTTGGATCTCCTGTTGGCCCGTCAGTATTTTTCCATGAAGTCACACCTTCTACTCATCCACTATTTTTTATCACAAGCAAGGTCAAATTGTACCCAAAATTTTTACCCCGTTCTATGCCTTTATTCTTATTTTATCCCATACACCACCTATGCCCATCCCTTGCCAAAGGTCAAATCTGTACTATAATTTTTGACCCTATCCTCATTCCTATTCATATTTTTATGATCATAATTATTATAATTATGCATATTAATGTGACCTTTTGCTATTTTTGTCGCGAGGGTCAAACTGTAACCAACAGGCAACCCCCCCCCACTAGTTATGACGAGACCAACTTTGACGCCAAAGGGACACTGGATGAACATCATGCATAGGTGATGGAACGCCATGCTGTTAGAGGCGGTTGAACTGACATTGAAACCAACGTGTATGGCAGCTGGGGCTGACCTGTCGATAGGATTTGCAGATACGTGCAGCTCCCAATGGAAGAAGTACAAAAGGAAGTTTGTTATAGCACTCAAAGGATTGTTGGCTGAAGCCAAAGTATGACTGTCGAAGCACATAACAAAATGCTAAAAGCTGCTGTCACAAATTCAAAAGGTGGGCAAACGACGTCCCATGCAGCCATGGTTGTCGCGTTGCTAGAAAATCCCACCGAACAGAAGATCGTTAGACAATACCAAACACAAATTAGAAGCAGATCACCAGGAGTTCAGCATTATTCCGAGAAGGAAGAGGTTTATGCGTGGCTGCTCTATTATCCTGAGGAGAGTGCATCCGCCACTACGTTGTCGGACCCTGCCATGTGGATCGTCTGCAGGTAAACTGCATGATTAAGTGATCATTTCCGTGAATGTGGCTTGATTTACAGTGTGAAAAAAAGGCAAGAAAGCCGCAAGACTTTCTCAAAGACAGAGATGACATTATCATTCAGAGCCCCAAGCATGACTGTAGTGAGGTCTGAATGAGAAGGATAACTCTCTTTTCACATCCAATGAATTTTACCCCAATAAGATGGACGGAATTGAAATACGTCAGAGACCGAGACAAAGACTTCGTGTACTCTAGAAAAAGTTGGTGTCAGTCTTTATCGAGCAAGGAGTTCCTAACAGAAGGCTTGCTAAGTCAGATGCATAAACAACTTCAGTGGCAGTGTATAACACCGGAATACGCAGAAAGGCGTTGAAGCCATTTATGTCAAATTGAAGGTAAGCCATGTCGCGTACCCAGCGTGGCCGCCAGCACCCGACTGCTACGGAAGACTTAGATCATTTTCACATAAATGAAATAAAAGACCAGCAAGCAACATGACGTTTGTGACATATTGCT